TCTTCTTAGCGGCGGTAACCTTGTCCGCAGGCTCCTCTTCCCTAAGCTTCCCATAGACTTTTTCTGGTTCCTCGGCCTCAGGCTCCGCCTGGGGTCCGAAGCTTCCGGCGACCTCCGCCATAATGGTGTCACGGTTAATCCTTCTCCCGGCCGTTCCCAGTCGAGTGGTTGCGTTCACCCTATCACGTCCGTCGCTTTCCAAAATAAAGTTGGCCTGCGGCCCGCGCCCCCGGAGCTGATCCCAGATGATCTCACCCACCGGTTCGACTTCTACGGCTGTTATTTTTAACCTGTTGAGCATGATAATGGCTGGCCGCATCCCTCCTGGTGAGTTCCAGTTCACCCGTTCTCCTTGTGGTCCAAATATCTCCCCCTTTAACGACCTGCTACACCTTTTTAGAATATCATGGTTGAGCTTTGGGCATGCGCGCACATAATGTCCTATCGTGGTGCAGTACTTGCATTGCTCGTTAGCAGGATCTCTCCGTCCGTATCCCCGGTTTGCCACAGCTGGCGGGACCATAGCTTCCTGGGGAGGGAGGGCAGGTCGGGATACTTGCGCTTGCATAACCATTAGCGCACCTTCCATCCTTTCAATCTTATTGTCGACCCCGTGCACCCGTTCATGTAGACTTTCAATCCCCTTCTTTACCTTGTCGCCCGTCCTACCGGTCAGATCAATGATCTCTCCTTCCTTGAGCAATGCCAACAGTTCCGTTACTACCGTTTTCTCAGCCAGATCTGTTACCGTGCTAAAATCAACATCCCGCGTGTTTACGAACTTGCTCGTCTGTTGGTAGGCTGACAGGATCTTGTCTTTGTCGAACTCGAAGAACTGCCTGAGGAAATATTTGCTCATTATCCGGTCCGTGACCCCGGGGATCCTTAGTGCTACTAGAGTAAATTCCCGTAGGAAATCATTGTACGTTGCAAAGTTCTTCCTCTGAACTGCCGCTAGGTCGGCCTCCATTGCCATTTTCTCCGCCGCTAGGTACTTCCTCATCATCACATCCCGGGTCTCCTTCCAAGACCGACTTGCGGCTACAATGACCATTATGTCCCGTCCTAGGCTTAACGACACATGTTGTCCTAGGTGGTCCATTTTTTCCTCCTCGGTCCACTTTAGTAACGCAGCTAGGTTCTCGTAGTCGATCAGGAACTCCGTGATGTTTGCTCCATCGAAAGTCAGCTTTTTCTTGGCGTCTGCCAGATAGCCTTGATTTTTGTTTAGTGCTCGAGCGAGGGACGACACTATCTTCTTAAGGCCGCCCTCGGAGCTGCTGGCCTCGCCTGCCACACTGTTATCCGGGCTCTCCTTGCCGGCCTTCTATCCCTCCCTGGTTTTCATAGTTCCTTCTGGGTCAAACCATCCCAACACTCTTTCCCTAAGGCTCCAAAGTCCTTCGCATCCTCGCGCTACTGCTGGCGTGATCGGCAGGCGGCTAGCCCTACTATCCATGGCTGGCGGAGTCGTAGCCTTTTCTGCTTCCATTCCCGGAGAGTTCTCTCTCTCTTTCCTTCTCTTGCTCGGCGTTCCCCCACGGTCACTACCTTTATCCCCTTGTCCAGTCCCACCTTGGCTGGCTTTCCGTTCGTCCTGGGGTTCCTCCTGCAGAGGACCTTTTTCGTTCCCAGTCATCATTTCCTCAATCAGTCTTGCCTTGTATTCCGCGGTCCTCTTGTCTATCTCGGGTAGTTTGCGCCTTGTGTCCGTGACCCTTACTTTCTTAGGCAAGGCTCCTTCCGAGTTTCGGGGGCTTGTCCTATCCTTATTTCTACCTTCCTTGGTCCCCTGGGTCCCTTGCCTGCTTCCCCCGGCTTTCCCCGAGCTTTCTCCTGTGGATATTTCCTTCCGGTTCCCTTTGGTACCCTCCGGATTTATCGATTCTCTGTCCTTCTGCCAACCTTCGCTTTGCGCGGCACTGCCTTCTAAGCCTGGTTCTCCTTCACTCTTACGGTTATCTGTCTCCTCCCCCGTTGCCATTATGCCTAGTTCTGCATAAGCCAAAGAATTCCCAGGACACACGCAATGCGAGGTTTTTAGGTTCCCTAGGCTCCCAGCTCTGTTGGCTTATCTTTATAGTCTCCTTTCCTATCCCCGTTTCCTGATTGCCCTTCCTTAAGGAGAAGCCACGACTGGCTCTGCCGCCCAGCCGAGCTATGAACGTGACTGGGCTTCCTTTATCACAAGCTCGTTTGTAGTACCCTTGTCCCGTCGGCCGACGCGAGGGAGTCCGGGTTAGGCATCCTGCTAGGGGAAGCCTTCCCGAGCAGCGTTTCCCGTTTTTTTTACCTTCCGAGTTATGGTCACTCATTAGGAGTCTACCCCCTTCTTTGTTTTTCTAGTGGGTTTTAGCCATCCGGGTCCAAGGCCCCTTTCTTATTCCCATCGGCGGATTTCCGTACACAGCGAACTATACTGGATCTGCCCTATTGGTCTGCCTGCGGATCCTAGTCCCGCTCGCGCCCTTGTGGTTCTTCCGGTTCGGTTGGCGCCTCGAATAGCTCAGCCACCCCTGCCAAATAGCTCTCTCCTATCTCGATCTCCCTTTGGATTATGCGTTCGTGCCCTGTCTGGTCTAGCCAGGGCGCACGAAATATCAGGATGTGGATGACCTCCAGTAACTCGTGGGCCCTGTTTCGCCATAACGGCCCATGCCTCACGGCGACATCATAGAACATCCCGATGGTTAGAGAGGAAAAGTGGTCTGCCCACATTATTGTCGAGTCTGCCAGCTCCCGCGCCCTTGCGAGGCTCCCGAAGACAAGATCTATCATAAAACGGGGGACCCGGCACCTCAGCGGTGTGGTTGGTGCCCTGAGCTCCCTCCAACCTCCCATCTCCACCCGGGTTAGCAAGCCCACGTTCCTTCTTCCCCTGACCGAATGTCCTATCCGGGTCAACGTCCAGGCGGCCCTTTGAAAGACCGGTGCCAGCTCGTGACCTTGTGCTATCTCTACCTCCAACGAATGCCAGCCGATCTCAGGCAGATACATGGTCCCGGTAACCTCCAAATTGGAGAACAGATCATCTCCGGGTCCTCGATTGAGTCTCATTCCTGTCCACCGACATTCTACCAACATGAAGGCGGCGTCCCTTCCCAAAGTCACGGCCCGCCATTCTACGTCGAACCCCCGATAGGTAGAACTCGACGGGAGGGATACTTCCCATCGTCCACCGTTGTTCCACGGCGGTCCGGGGTACCGGGGTCGGCGTTCCATTCGCACACGGGGCTGGCGTTCCACTCGCTCACGTCTTGCTGCCATTGTTACCTGGGTGATTTCCTGCATAGTCCACATAGAAAGGGTTACAACCAATCTTCAGAATCCGCCCACCTACTGTCTCCCTTGCCCTTCGTGTTTTCATTTCTCTTTTCTAGTCCCAACTATCCCTCTATACCCCCGGGAGCAGTAGCCTCCTCTTGCTGTTCGTACAGTTGGTAGAGATCATCTATGTAGGCCGCGCCCCGACCTACCTCTCGCCGGATGACTCTCCACATCGTCTCATCACTTATTTGTGGAACTCCTGGCCTAGCATTTACTGCTGCTCTTAGAATACAAAGCACCTCGCGCCCTTGTTCGTCCCCGAAAGGCCCCATCTCTAGAAAGGCCCGATAATATTCTCGATACATTAATGCTTCGTGAAAATTTAGCCTAGTTACGGCAGTCACCACATGCTCCACTCATTTTATGCCTCCCATTCGTCTTAGCAGGAAGGGTGGTAGACTCATCCGTACGACCTCATTTGGCAGCTCGAAAACCCCCGCCGCGACGACTTTTACCTCCGCCGTTACATCGTCTCGTTCTGGGTCTGCAAACTCAAACCCCTCCCGCCAGGTTATTTGCCATGCCCCTTCGAACATTCGCACGGGGTCATCCCCGGGGTCATCCCCGGAAGCCAAAGCAATCCCAAAGGTCCGCCATCCCTCTTCCGACAGGTGTAAGGATCCTGTCGCGTGCACACGCCCTGGGCGGTTCAAGTCTACGCCCCCGAACTCCCCTCTCGCCCGCCATTCCAGCTTCACAACTAGGTACACCGTATCTTCCACCAACTCTACCCCCACCCAGTCCATTACCGGATTGCCTACCGTATTTCTTGCCGGCAGGCTTATTTCGACCCTGCCCTCTGATATTCTTGGTGGCAGGATCCCACGAGGTCTATCCGCCCAGAACGTCATTCGTCGGGCCATCTCACAATGTCTCCCTTCCTGCTTTCTTAGTCCGATCGCTGCACCCACCGAGATTCCATGCCTTTCGTGTTTTAGTCTTTCAACCCTCCCTACTTATCGTACACTGGTTCCTGCCGCTATCCCCAACTCATACACGTTCAATTCTATCCCCCCCCATTTTCCAATTGCTGTCACTTCCCCCTTGTTTCGATCCTTATGCACCATCTACGGCCTAATGTACACACTCCTTTTCTTATGTTACACCTTACTTCACAAGCACCCTCCATACTCGGGCCTTTTCGCGGCGTTCGATCCCTTGGCCTCATTCAGTCGAACCACAGTACATCAAATATTTTAAAAACGTCGTCTACGTAGGAGGGTGCAACCGCCGCCTCCCGGCTAACTATGGAGTCCCAAGACTCCGCCTCTACCTCTAGGCGGTCATACCTGCCTATTCTTAGGACGATGATGACTTCCTTGGCTTTATCTCCGTTGAAGGGCCCATATTTCAATGAGAGCCTATAAAACTCCAGTCAACCAGGCACACTCTATATGCACCTTTCTCATGGAGTCGGCTACTTCTAAAATGTGCTCAAACCCCCCAAACCACTCGGCTATGAATTCCGGTACCCAAGCCGTTATCCGTAGACTTGGAGGTTTGAGTTCCTTCCATCCTCCCATCACAACTCTGCTACTAACTTCGTCTCATCCCTCGTTGGTGAACAGCTTGCCCTCCTTTCGGGTTCGGGCCTCTGCATCCCCTAGAAGCCACATCGGGTCCTGTCCCATTGCTAATATGGTGCAAAACAGGTGCCATCCATCCTCGGAAAGGACACTCGTTCCAACTGACTCTACCTTGCCTTCTGCTATATCATCCCAACCTTCCTCTTCCCTTATCGGGTTCCAAATCCGCTCTATCCATACATATGACAAGTCCCGGGCAACCTCAAACCCAATCCAGTCGCACGTGGTCCCTCTTCATCCGTTCCTTGTTGGTATAGGCATTTTCATTCCTCCTCTGAGTCGCCGTGGTTCCCAGCCTTTGAAGGGTTATTCCATCATCCTTTCTTCTCTAGTCATCTTTCCCTTTCCTGCACAATACCAGGCCACCCGTCCTCCTTAAGTTAAGTCACCCTACCCCTCTTAGAAGTCCCAGTCCTTTATCTCTTCATCTTCATCTTCGTCACTGAGGTCGTCCTCCTAGTAGTACATCAACCCCCTTACCCCATCTAGGAACGTCTCCCCTACTGCCACATTCCTGTAGACTATCCCGCAATGCACAACGCTAGGAACAAAGATATTGTCTATGCTAAGGCAGTTTAGTATCTCGGCCACCTCTTCCGCCCAGTTCCCCTCGAACGGCCCCATCTCTACCGATAACCGAAAAAAATCCTGCCTAGCGCATTGGTATAGCCCGAGGTTCGTCATGGACTGGCATATTCGCACTAGCCTGCTCCGGGTTCCGAAAACCGCATCCACTAGGAATGAGGGCAACACACATCGCATGGTTCTTACGGGTCGCCTCGTGCTTCCTCTATCCCCAAGTTCCACCCGTACGTCTACCCTTTCCATTTCCATTTCCCTCCGTTGGCATACAGCCCACACAACCTCCGCTTCTGCTTTCCTAAACAACTCGTCTGGCGTATTCCCGAGTGCCAACTCTATGATCATAGCTTTCTCCCCATCTTGCGACAAGTAGACCTACCCCCGGGTTTCCACTGTCCCTCGGAATTCCAAATCCATTAAACTTGGTGACAACCTCGTCAAGCTGACATCAGTCCATATTGTTTCTATCCAAAGGAAAGCATCCTCTTCTTCCAGCATTACCGTTTGATACGCTGGTTCAAGGACCGTCCACGTTCCATTTTCCGGGAGGATGATCGATACCCCATCCTTTACATCTACTGGCATTTCCGCGCCGCTAGTATAGATCGGGGAAGGCAACCATCGCGCCATCTTGTTTTCAGCACCCGACCCCTGTTTTCATAAAAAGGCACCAACCGATCCTTTTGGTCAGGTCAACCCTTGTCCTAGATGAGAATTATTTAAGACCCCTCATCAAGGTCTCCCTACTTTACCTCCCCTTTCCTAAGTACCTCCTTCACATAATTCCCTCGGCCGACCATCCATTTGCCCACATTCTTTCTCTTGGTTCCATTCCAAATGACCTCTATCCTCCTTCCTTCCGATCATCTCTCACTCGTGCGGACTTAGATGGGAGGGGGAATAGACTTAGAAGAGTGCCCGTCCAACAGTCCAATCTCAATCAATTCTTACAGAGGGGGAACACATAAAAGAAAATCAGCGAGCCTCACATACGGGCCGGTCATCTCCTCACCGGCCATCCCAATATGGTCTTTGCGCTGGTACTATCGGTAGGGTTTGATCCCATACCTCAAGCACAGCTCAACCGTCGCGAGCGCGGTACCCAGGTCTCAGCAAGGCATTCGTCCTTTCCTCCTTACCCAGAATACCCCATCCCGACTTGCCGCTCGTGTACCCACCGTTAATCTCGGGAATTACCCCGCACATTTCGGTAGGGCCATTGGAGCCAGCCGTCTAGGCATTCACTTCCATCGGTCCAATAAGGAACAGTTTTTCCCAAACCATGCTACGAGAAGCTCTGAATCGCCTCTGAGGCTCCTTCCTTGCCCCATATGCAGTGGTCCCCCTGCCGTCTGCCGCCAACCAGCCGCCCCGCCTGAAGAGGTTTCACATCCCACCTGGGCAAGATCATCGAGCCATGCTCGGACCGCTCCGGTGAGAATGCTACAAGTCACCCGACGAGACCAACCCTTGCCTGACAGTCCGGTGGCCCGACCCCCACACGCGGAACCCGGTGAACTTCAAAGAGGACGACCAGCTCGCATCCCGCACCGACCGGCGCAAACCAATCCTTTCCTTCCAAATGGCAGGATGCTCGAAATCCCAATCATGCAATCACAAGTCCCAAGTGGGACACACATAGTACAAGTGCCTTTCCCTTGGTGCACCCAGCGCTTCCTACCCATAACTCACAGATTTTATCTCAGGACAATGAGTGTCACTCCTCCTACTTTCATGCATAGTGGTTGGTTCATTCTCCTGAGAATCTTCAAGGGTGAGCTAGTTTTCCTTGGAGTCTAACAATTCCCTTCGTTCCCTTCTCTTCACTTGTCTGTCCTTTCATAGGGTAGGATTGTTCCTTCTTGATGACCTGTTGTGTTCATATTGGTTCCTTCAATCATTAAAAAGGTGCAAAGTGCATGAGCCCGCTGGGCTCAAAAGAAGAAGGGGAGAGCACCCATTCGGTCGGATCACTCCGCCATGGGATTTTCATTGGAACCTGGCCTAAGCCAAGCACCAACCGCCTGCCAGGTAACCGCAACCCTTCTTTCATACGAAGAGGAATGGTCGACCTGCGACTTGCCCAAGGCTTCCCCGGACTGGCGAGCACCAGCACCGGACGAAGGAGGGCTAGAGCCATTCCTCAAAGGAACGACTGATCAAGTGCATAGCATGCATGTTATACCTCTAGGCCTGGCCATGCCATGTGCCCAGCCACCCTCAAATCTGATTTCTCACAAGGGAAAGGACAAACACAAGTCTATTTTCCTTATCTTGGGTTGTGTACACGTCAATGCGACGGGCGCCCCCATCGCAATCGCAAGGGTCAATTTAACCCCCTACCCGGCACCTCCACCATTTTTGTAGGGCCAAACCCCGGTAGATTTCCGAGCCTTAGTCGACCCCACTGCGGGTCCCAGTTGGCTCGGCCCGCCCACACTCATGCTCAGGGCGCAGGCCATTCGTCCCAAGGTCACCCCCACCTAGTGCTTTGAGATGGATGGGGGTGGGCCATCGCGCGAGAAAGCTTTGACATTGGGGATGTAGCTCAGCCCTCACGTCGGGTGGTAGTCTCGCTGGTCGTTTCCGCAACGCTGATTTTTTTTTGATTCTTTGGGTGTTCTCATGCAATTGCTCCTTCCAATACGCAGGCAGTCCAGGGGTTCTTTGAGCGTTTCTCCTCTCTTGTGCGTAGGCTAAGCATCATCCTTAGGCCACACACCATTCCCCTAGGCATTTTGGTTATATGGCGTCATCGGGGCGCGGCGCGGCCGTCCTTCCCCTCGCCTCTACGCATCCATCGGATCTCACAATTTGCTTCCCTCCTTATTGAAGTAGGCCCCTTAGTCTTTTCGGGGTCCTCATATGCATGCACACACAACATCACATTTTCCTTGGTACGATTGCACTCTCAATCACACTTCCAAGTCTCAAGTGCAAAAGTCATTTTCATGAATTGGCTCTATGTCAAGGGTCCCATAGCCCCTTTGTCCCTCTTCCCTTTCCCTCTTGGTGCCCAGTTTTTCTCGCCCTTATCTCGCTCAAGGCATCTCTAGCCATTACTCACTTGCACAATCCCACACAAGCAAGAAAATCCATACAATGTCCCCCATTGTGGGTCAGCACAGAGCCCTTCCCACATGCCTATTCTTTCCATGCTCTTTGGCTGTGCTTGGTTCCCTTCTTGTTGCTCAATCAGCCCATCCTCTTCTCATAGTCATACAGTCAGGGAAATGGTTGAGTCAAACTGACCTCACTTTCAACTTGTGTTCCCTTCCGGATTCCGCCTTTTTCCCACTCTTTCAAACGTCCTTTCTCTTTTGCCTCCTTGGTGGCACAAGGGAGCAGCTATCCTCCCCTTGCCCTCTTTCTCCACCAAGTGAAGTCTGATTTCTTTTACCGTTCGTACCCTGGCAATATTTCCAAGTGAGGTAAGAAGGGTTAGTCATATGCCAAATGAGGGAACGGGAGAGCGGGAGAGGGAAGGCGAGGTAGCAAAAGGGGGCGAAAGAGAGCCTAGAGGAGGGAGGAGGGAAAGGAGGGAGAGAGAGAGAGAGAGAGAGAGAGAGAGAGAGAGAGAGAGAGAGAGAGAGAGAGAGAGAGAGAGAGAGAGAGAGAGAGA